AATACTATCAAGTATGTTAATGGGATTACTTTATATATATTAAGTATATTTCATACATATGCGGGTTTTGTTGCTAATTAGAGGTGCCTCCAAGTAGAAGGGACATTTCACACCTGGTTTTGAGAGACAGGAGAGACCATCTTTGGCCTAAAAAGAGTCAACCTGACCCTGACTCCTGGAGCACGCCATTTTCGAGAGTGGACAAAGTGAGGAGATACTTGAGTTGTCTCCGTAGTCCCTGGTGGTGGTTTCCTCTCTGTGGAACGTAAATCATTTTCCACGGAGAGCCGGCTGGTGAATGAAAGGGAATGAAGCTGGTGAACTGTTACTTGCAAGGCCACAGGTGCCAAGCCAAAGGCACGATAACCTAGAGGAAGAAGCCTGACTGCGAGTTTCTCAGGCCCACAGGAAGCCACGTGTGGGGCTGAGTCTCCTGCTTCCTTAGCTCTTTCCAGCGGTTTGGGAGCTTGGCACAATGGAGGACCAAGGAAAGTCAAGTCCCGCGTTAAATCCAAGACCGGAGGGCACTCCCGGCCCCTTCAGTGGTGAAGTGCGCCGCTGGGTTGCCCGGCAACTACTGCTACTGCGGGGGCAGAAGGCGGTGGGATGATGAAGGCCAAGTACCTGAATCAAGGACAAGAAAAACATGGAGTGGGAGGAGTGGGAGGAGTGGGAGGGGCTTTTCAAGTGCCTAGGCTTTAGAATTTACGGCAGCTTCCGAACTGTAGCTGCGTTCCCAGGAACTAAGCTGCGTTTATCTTGACTTCCGACTACGTTGGCAACAGGTTTTCTTCCCGCCGCGGGAGCGGCTCCTCATCCTCGTCCCTCCTGCCCTCCCCTTTGCCTCCAGGAGCCATCTTCCCGGCTCCAGAGGCTCCCCCGAGGAAACGCGGGTACTGGCCCTTTAAACGTGACCTGCTGCGGTCCGCGGACCTAACACTGACGTGGAACCCAGAGTAAGCGGCGTCAGACACGTGGGACAAGGAGGTGTTCATCTTGGAACCGGGCAAGGCGTTTTTCCGCTTTGGGCTTTACATCTTTAATACGGCGTTAGGAAAGTATCCGCTTTTGTTTGTCTGTCTTTAATTGTTTTGCCACTACCGTCGTGGTGAAAACTCTCAAATAAAGGACGCAGTTTAAAGGAACATTTGTGTCCCCCGCGCTACGTGCCTGTATTAAAAATGGCCGCCGCCGCCTTCCACGACGCTGGTTGCTCTGCGAACAAGATCCGGGAGGAAACAGCGGGCATGCAAGTGCCGTGGGGGCACCGCCGAGGTTGCGCTATAGAGGCTCGCGGGAGTCCCAGGGCGGCTCAAGTCAGAGTTGTTGGGCTTCGCTCAGGCTGTTGGGGGAAGACCCAGCCTGTGGGGAGCGGCCACTCCTCCCTGCTGGGGGCTCAGGGCTTCTGCCCAGCTTGTCCGTTAGCTGAGGAGGTGGCCGAGCGGGGCCCCTGGCTGGTCATCATGTGGGCCTTCCCGGAGTTGCCAATGCCGCTGCTGGTGAATTTGATCGGCTCGCTGCTGGGATTTGTGGCCACGGTCACCCTCATCCCCGCCTTCCGTGGCCACTTCATCGCCGCGCACCTCTGTGGCCAGGACCTCAACAAAACCGGCCGGCAGCAAATGTGAGCGGTGGCACCCGGGTCCCGGGCGGGAGGCAAGGGCAGAGGAAGGGGCCGGCAGGGCAAGGCGGGAACTGGGGTGCCTGACCCCGCGGAGAAGGAGTCCTAACTCCGCAGACAGCTCCGGGCTCTGGGAGATGAAGGGCAGCACTGGCTAACATTGGGAAGGGATGTTGTGGTTGAGGGGACCCTCAGGTGCATCGGGGACTCCAGCACTGGTGCCCTTCCCCACCCCCCCTTTCCCCATTCGATGGCTGTAGTGCCTGCTCTAATGAGTGACCACGCCCCCTTTCCTCTCCCTCCGCCCCCTCCCTTTGCTGCTGGGCCACAGCCCAGAGTCCCAGGGAGTGATCAGCGGTGCTGTTTTCCTTATCATCCTCTTCTGCTTCATCCCTTTCCCTTTCCTGAACTGCTTTATGGAGGAGCGGTGTAAAGCCTTCCCGCACCATGAAGTAAGTGGGTGAGTGGGGGAGGTTGCTTGTGGCTGGGGTCTGGGAGCTACCTGAGAAAGTTGGGGTTGTTTGGGTGGAGGGGCTGAGGATCCAGGGAAAAGACAGGTATTTTTGAAAGGTGAAGTGGGCGTAGGCTTGAGCTGTGACCTGCCCGAGCCTCCCCCAGTTTGTGGCCCTGATAGGTGCGCTCCTTGCCATCTGCTGCATGATTTTCCTGGGCTTTGCGGACGATGTACTGAATCTGCGCTGGCGCCATAAGCTGCTGCTGCCTACAGCTGCCTCATTACCTCTTCTCATGGTCTATTTCACCAACTTTGGCAACACGACCATTGTGGTGCCCAAGCCTTTCCGGCCGATTCTTGGCCTCCATCTGGACTTGGGTGAGTAGCCCTGCCACCGCCGCCCCTGTGGCCCCTACTTCAGGGCACCCTTACCCTGGGAGATATCTAGCAGAGCATCATTCCTGGTGCTCCAGATTCTCCTCCAAGTGTCCCTGACTTGTCCCTGTGTCTTCTCAGATCCTTTCTGTTGGTCCTTCGTCTGATCCTCTGTCCCCACCACTTTTCTCAGCAGAATATCCTTAAGTCCTCATTTCAATGGTACACACTTTTTACCGTCTTCTTCCCCCAGGGATCCTGTACTATGTCTACATGGGGCTGCTGGCAGTGTTCTGTACCAATGCTATCAATATCCTAGCAGGAATTAATGGCCTAGAGGCTGGCCAGTCACTAGTCATTGCTGCTTCCATCATCGTCTTCAATCTGGTGGAGCTGGAAGGTAGGTGGGATTAGGAGGAGGGAGAGAAGAGAAGTCTGAGTGTTAAGGAAGTTGCCTGATACCTGGCTTTGGGGAGTTTGGGGGGGAAAAAAGCGATATATTAAGATTTATTAAATGTGAGAAAGAAAAATAGCAGCCCTGTCATTTTTACCTGGATTGGCACTAACAGGTAGGCCATGGTCTTCTATGGAACGTAAACAATTTCACAGAACTTCCAAGTCAGACAGGGTCACTCTATGACCACGATAGTAAAACCAACTCAGGTAGAACCGCATTTTGTGCATCCCTCAAAAATGACTAAGGTCTCCCTCTTCTGGCTGACGTGAGCAATTGCTGCTTCCTTCTGATAACTCAGTTCCTCCTACTTTTTAGACAAAACTAAGATGCTCAGTCATAGAATTACTTTGACTGACTGCACCCAGTCTAGGGCAAAACTCCACCTCCTTGCTTTCTCCCCAAAATTACTTAAAACGAATCCTATAACACATCCTCCTAATACCCCCTTACTAAGGCATCCCATGGTTGCCTATAATGTGTGGTCTCCAGTGTCTCCCTTGTTACAAGTCAGTAAACCCAGCTTTGACTGCTTGTGTGTTTCTGGTGGTCTTTGGCTGATAAGCACTGATATCAGTGTTTATTAAAACTAACCACTTTAGTGAGCATTATCTCATTTGAACTTTGTAACATGTGGCAGGGGTTCTCGTGAACCATATTTTGTAGTTGAGGAGACTGAGGGCTAGAGAATTTAAATGTGTCATGATTGAGGTCACACAGGAAGTAAATCTGGTATTCAAACCTAGGTCTGACTGATCTAAACCAAATTGAAGACAGTAACTCATTTAGGAAGGCTTCGTGAATGAGGTGGAATATTAGGAATTGCCTGGGTGACACAAAAAGGGTGGTGAGTTCTTGAATGTGACTTGGAAGAGGTGGAGAGTACAGCTTGGGACAGAACTTAGAGACAAAAATAGGACCCAGGTATGCAGGGGAAGCACCTATCAACTTTTCCTTCTTTCTTTTTCCCTTGCTTCCAAAGGTGATTATCGGGATGATCATGTCTTTTCCCTCTACTTCATGATACCCTTTTTTTTCACCACCTTGGGATTGCTCTACCATAACTGGTAAGTGGGCCTGTGGCTAGGGGGTAACTATGTGATCATAGAATGAGTATGGTCCTGGTCATGACCCAACTCCTGGAAAGGCTAAACCTACGCACACCTATGTTGAGTGTTTTCTGGGTCTCTAGTTGGTAATATTCTTCAATTGCTTTCAGCCCAGTCGCAGTTAGGGACAAGTGCTGTGGAGCCCCCAGGAAGAGATGAATGCAGGGCCTTGGGTCCAGGACAGTTGCTGGAAGAGCCAGAGTCTCCTCTGGGCCAGAACTAGAGTCAGGGCTAGCCCAGGGCCCAGGAAGTGTAATGTGAGAGAAAAGATGGATAGTGCCTCCTGCCACTGGCTCAGATCCTCTCCCCTACACAGGTACCCGTCACGGGTGTTTGTGGGAGATACCTTCTGTTACTTTGCTGGCATGACCTTTGCCGTGGTGGGCATCTTGGGACACTTCAGCAAGACCATGCTACTCTTCTTCATGCCCCAGGTGTTCAACTTCCTCTACTCACTGCCTCAGCTCCTGCATATCATACCCTGCCCTCGCCACCGTATTCCCAGGTAGCCACTTTTGGGGCTTGAAAGGGACATCGTAGCTTTTTCACTTGGGATGCGTAAAGCCAGCCTTATACATCTGCTGTGCGAAGGGAGTGGGCCCAAAGAAGGGCTCTTTCCACATGGTTAGCCCTTAGAAATTACAGAGCACAGTCACCTACATAATCTAATCAGCTCTGATCACACAGTAGTAAGCAGAGCCAGAAATAGATCTTAGGTTGTTTGATGCCATGTTCAGTGCTCTTTCTGTTAATTGACCGCAGTGAGGAGAGTTCTTGGAATAGTGGCCCCGTCACATAAAGCTCTCTTCCCCCTGCAGACTCAATACCAAGACAGGCAAACTGGAGATGAGCTATTCCAAGTTCAAGACCAAGAACCTCTCTTTGTTGGGCACCTTTATTCTAAAGGTAACAGGGTAACAAGGAGGTAAGGCTCTAGGCCGTCATCGGGAATTCAGGGACCGGGGATCCTGGGCCTGCATCAGATCCAAGGGGAGTTTGGAAGCACGAAGCAGATCCCCACTGCTGAAGCAGAGTTGAAGTTCTCTCCACCTCTGGCCCCTCCAGGTAGCAGACAGTCTCCAGCTAGTGACGGTGCGCCAGAGCGAGCATGAGGATGGTGCCTTCACGGAGTGTAACAACATGACCCTCATCAACTTGCTCCTTAAGGTCGTCGGGCCCATGCATGAGAGAAACCTGACTCTGCTCCTGCTGCTGCTCCAGGTGTGGTCGGGGAAGGGCTCTACATACATCTCCCTGTCTGCCTTTCTCCATGATTCTGACTCTAGTGTGTTTCTCCTCACAGATCCTTGGCAGTGCAGTCACCTTCTCCATTCGGTACCAGCTTGTCCGGCTCTTCTACGATGTCTGAGTCCCCCGGTCCTTGCCCTTTACTGCACAGTCTGCAGGGTTCCTGACTCAGGCCGACCTCTTTCCTGACCAGGAATGCCTCCTGGCCCAGGCCTCTCCCACCTCTTATTCTCCCCCAGATTTTGTACTTAGTGATTCCATTCCGCTGTGAATATCGACACCCTGGGCCTGTCTTGCCCTCTACTGACTGTTGATTGGACTTTGCCACTTCAACTTGCCACTCTCCCTCTCCGTCCCGTCTCGTCTTTGCAGCCTCCTGAGGTGGGATACTGCCACTTTTATGCAGTTATCCACGACTCGGACTCTCGAGGAATATGTTGGGCCTGGGGATAGAGCCCTTGCTGGGGATAGGGACACAGCCTCGAAAATCACTTGATATTTGACTATAAATTAAGTATTCTGATTAGTAAGAGCAGACTGGGGGGCCAGGTGCTCCCAGTGGTGACAATAAAGTGTTGTCTTTTTCTTATTGTTGTTCCTGTAGGTATATCTCCTATATGGGCATCTTAGGGTAGATTTGGGAGGGTTGGTGGAGGCACCTCCTCCAAGAGGTCCTTTTTTCTTTCAGTACAGCAGGCTCCTTGTAGCAAGAAGGGAACAGAAAGAACTGCGACCAGAGAGAACATGTTGAATAAATACTGAAATCCTCATACTTCGGTGGCAGGGAGGGCCATAAGATTGGAGTTACCTTTGTCTGGTGTGGGACAGAATT